CTGCAGGCAGGGAGGACCTGCATGTCCTACATAGTCATAGACTCAGAAAGGACAATAAAATGAATTAGAGTAACGTGTCGGTCGCTCTATCCGAAATCGTTGCGTCTAGGCCCACAGATACCCTTGAGTCAAAAACACTCGAAAAATTTGCGCTCTAGCATGCCTATTTCTGCCCTCTTCGCTCGTTCGTCCAACGTCCTAGCTGCCTGTTCTCACTCAAGATGCGAAGCCTCATTAGAGCAACGGTCCCCCATAGACCTGTTGTAATGGAAGTTGTATAGGGAAGCTTAAGCTGTTAGACTCATGTTTAATATCACCTAGTGAAGCGAGTTGGGAGATTGAAGAGTCTGAAAACTATAGTGGAGAATTGTTGATTAAACCCACTTAGTATCAGCGCGCTATTTAAACTAATTATTACATAAAAGTGAAAGAGACAATTCGGTTGTTTATGCTAAATAGTTAGGAGGCCGGTCAATGCATGAGTCGTGATGAATGTGACTAGTAATAGTAGAACCTTATTACGTTCCATGTTAATGCAACCCTTCATTACCAAGTAGCACCAATATCAACAAGACCAAGAGCCGAGCTTTGAATATTTTGACTTAGTTTCCTCCTCACGGGTAAACATTGCATCGTAACTTTGTGGTGGGAGATGGCCGATTTGAGATGAGGCGAATTTCCGATTGCAGTTGGAGTAACGCTTTATCAGAGGTAAAGGACTTGCGTGAGGTTGATAGGCCCCACATTAATGAGAGGTAGTTGATTTTAGATGCACTTTGTATTGCTTTGACTTTGATCCGGACGTGATTATTCTACGCCATCCCAGATATGTAGAGCACACTGAGCAATTACATCAGCACATGTTGGAAATATAGACTTATTACGTATGAAGGTTTAGGTTTCTAGATATGATCATTAAGATCAATTGAAATGATTCGATCGCATATGATTAAGCTCAGCTAGGAAGGGCAAGACTGAACACCTGCACGCGGTGTCCTCTACGAACCTGGGAGTGAAATATTCTTCCAGAGCCAAGTTTAGTCAAATTTCGCAATATCAAAGAAGTTGGCCCACGAGGCAAAAGTTCAAATTACTCCACCACGTCGATCTTTCGCTCCCAACGAGATTGACTCCTACCTAAGTCTCATCAAGCCTACAAGTACGACCAAGTATATCCTTATCCCAGTCACTACACCTTTCGTCGACTTTCTCTGGCCTCAGCTGGTTGTCAAATACACGCCAACGCCGATATTTACACTCGACGGAGGAAGCAAAGCGTGGCGTAGAAATCTGGGAGTCAGTTCTTTTGGATGGACGTGAGAGGGGTCAGGAAAGGTTCACAAGATGATGCAGAGAATGGATATAACCTCGAAGGGCATGAAATTCCGAATTTTGGCAAGGAGTTTTTCGAATTGGGCTTTGTGCGCGCCAATACTTTGCTTGCGAGAGTGCAGCTGACACTATAAAAATAAGCAGACGATGGAAGGTGTTGTAGTTCGCCTCCTGGTGGTGTTCTCTGGTATAGTCTGAGTAGCCTGGGCACCTACTCCACTTGGGAAGGAGAAAAGTTAGTGGATGATGGAGGCATGTCTGCATAACCCAGGGTTTTTGAGACGTTCCACTGAGTGGATATTCACGGATGAGGGCTGACTTGGGGTGAAGAAAAAGCCGCCATAACTTCGCAGTGGTACTTGCAAATGAAATCCGAGGCATGAGTGCTCTTCCTCTACGTTGAATTATCTATTCTGTACTTTTCTTTGATATAGTGTCATAGCTAGATAGCCGCATACGCAATTAAAATCTGATGCAAAAAAAATTCCTCCTCAGTCTCGGCCACCACGCGCCCATGCCCTTGATACCTTCGCCATCTGTAACTTTTCCCTTCCAATCATTCCCAGCTTAGGCTCACATGGGCATCTTCTCATCTCATCCAGGGGTCTTTTTCTTCACTGGAGGCCTCATCCAGTCGCCCACCAAGGCTTTGTCAGTTTGTATTCCCTTTGGTTCCTTCATGTAGCATTCCTCTATCCTTCAGTCGATCTCGTCATCCCAGAAACTTTGTAGAATGTCGACCTCTTCGGCCTTGCCCCGTCGCTGCCGTGCCCCTAACCGTGGAGGTCAAAAACGCGGCTAAGAGCTCAAGACCGAGGCACCAGTGTCCCAGCCTTTGTCGAATGCTCTGGTTAGTGTGCTGGCGAAATTTCGTACGTATTTCGACGGTGGCGATTCGTCGCAGGTCGAGTTGTTGGTGTTCTTGGCCGAAGTGAGGACGCGTCTAAGGCCGGTATTTCGACCGTACCTTCACAGTGACTGGCAGTTGCGTAGAGTCGGACATCCCCTTGCTTCTTAGTTGGCGATTTGGCTTTTAGATGTATGGGATTGCTTAGGTAGGTGATGAGATGATTGTGGAGAGGGCCGCGAGATGAGTTTGACTGGGAATGATCTTACAATGAAAGAGAGAAAAGATTTTGAAGGTGTCGGTTGTTGTGATACGAACATCAGACAGGTTGTAGCCTGTCTGCGGTTCGTATCTGGGGTGTAGATGGTTGATTTCGTTGAGTTGTGCAGTCGTGAAATCTCTTCAAGTCGGGTTTTCGACAAAAAATGAGCCAACACCACTCCTCCCGATCGCCAACTCGACGAAAACTTTCATCCCACCCTTTGTCGTGACCTAATCTCGGATCTGGGAGAATACTTCACTCGCAGGTTTGTAGAGGACACCACTGACAAGTGTTCAGCCTTCGTCATATGATGTAGTAAAAGAGGGTATAGCCCACTAGCCAAATCTAGGCAATTTCGAGCACACATAGAACTATAACACATTCCCTACAGATAGACATAACAATTAATTACCATCAATTATTGAATCATTCTCCACACAATTGAGGCCCATTTAAGCGCCAAAATTCTATCCAACTTTCATTTTATTGTTGCAATCGCATCGGTATCGAGCCACTACTGCATTATAGACTACATTCTCAATCTGTTATAAGCTACACCGCCAAGCTCAAGCATACAATCACAATACCATTGGCGACCACATAGTTTTATCTTTTCGTCCATTGCTATTGCTATTTTTGCTGCGAGACAGAACTGTTCTTTTTTTTTTCATCAGATTTTAATTGCGTATGCAGCTATCTAGCTATGACACAATATCAAAGAAAATTACAGAAAAGATGACTCAATTTACAAGGGGAGCACTCATGCCTCGGATTTCATTTGCAAGAACCACTGCGAAGTTATGGCGGCTTTTTCTTCACCCCAAGTCAGCCCTCATCCGTGAATATCCACTCAGTGGAACGTCTCAAAAACCCTGGGTTATCCAGACATGCCTCCGTCATCCATCGACTTTTCTCCGCGCGAAATGTAATCTGAGATGTCTCCTTCCCAAGTGGAGTAGGTGCCCAGGCTACTCAAACTATACCAGAGAATATCACCAGGAGGCGGATCACAACACCTTCCATCGTTTGCTTGTGGTTGTAGTGTCAGCTACACTCTCGCAACCGAAGTCTTGGCGCGCACAAAGCCCAATTCGAAAAACTCCTTGCCAAAATTCGGAATTTCATGCCCTTCGAGGTTATATCCATTCTCTGCATCATCTTGTGAACCTTTCCTGACCCCTCTCACGTCCATCCAAAAGAACTGACTCCCAGATTTCTACGCCACGCTTTGCTTCCTCCGTCGAGTGTAAATATCGGCGTTGGCGTGTATTTGACAACCAGCTGAGGCCAGAGAAAGTCGACGAGAGGTGTAGTGACTGGGATAAGGATATACTTGGTCGTACTTGTAGGCTTGATGAGACTTAGGTAGGAATCGGACTCTTTGGGAGTGAAAGATTGGCATGGTGGAGTAATTTGAAATTTTGCCTCGTGGGCCAACTTCTTTGATATTGCGAAATTTGACTGAACTTGGCTCTGGGAGAATATTTCACTCTCAGGTTCGTAGAGGATATCGCGTACAGGTGTTCAGTCTTGCCCTCCGACAGAACTGTTCAAACCTGCCTCTGGCCAGTATCTACTTTAAAGTTCTCTTCACATCATCTAGGCTGTTCATCATTGCCGCAGAGGAACTGTCTTTTGCCTGTCAAAGCACCTCTCCTCTTACCCTTGCCGAATGAAGACATGCCAAGACCAAAAGATTAATATTTTGTGATGGATATCCATATTGGGAGCTTAGATTAACCACTCCAGGGAATTTCTTTCGAAATAGGTAAGACTTAAGACCGACGTGCTCACTTCTTATCCGAACCGCAATACTGCTTTGGGCCCTGATAAGATTCCAATTTAGTTATTATTGTTGTCCTTCCTCGGTCTAAGAATTTGCAGTATTTTAGTCGAGTATGGCTGTCTATTGTTGAAAATCATGAATCTAGTGTAAAGTTGTCTGTAAACCATAAAATGGCATTGTAAATAGACATGTCAGACACAATGAGTTATTTTAAGGGCGATTAGATATATGAGTATGCGTGTACTATCAAACGTATGATTCGTGATCATTTGTCTGAAAGGCATGCCGAAGGATCTATCCTTCGGCATGTGACATTACTGTTAAATTCGATCGTGACGAACGCGGATCCCTTTTCTGTTGTAAGCAATGCTTCACTTGATTTAAACAAACTATCACACTCTGTATCCAGAGCAGGAACTAGCTTGATTCCGTTTGACCATATTAATAGCTTTCAGTACTCGAGATAGATACTGGAATAGACCACTAGACCAATACTTGTATGAAGAGTCTAGCAGCACTATCGCTCACTAAACCGCTTCAAGATTTTTAGTGTTGAATTAAAGAAGTTGTTTGAATTTTAGTGCTAACTGAATTAATCTTACATTATGCTATGCTGGCTCAGCTTTGCCGTGCAGCACAATCACCTTCCACATTATTTTCTTTTCACTCATAAACTCATGCCAAAATCATTGGCCCTTTGAATGGTCCGTCCTCTCCTTTTTTGAACACCACGAGAGTGGTCACTTTCAAATCTCATCTGTCATATTAAACTCTCAAATATCCCATGATAAATTTAACATGCCCTCGGATTTTTTATATGTCGCTAGTAACTCAATGCATTGCTCCGCAGTCTTCGCCTCTAAGATTATGCTGCTTGTGCTCGGACCCACGAATCCAGCTTCTAGAGAATTGCGGATCCACTCTAGTAGACTGTTCCAAAAACCTTCAACATTATAGATAACGACGCCTCTATCATGTATGCCTATTTGATGGTATGTTGCGACTTCCATTAATTCCTCAAATGTCCCATAACCGCCCGAGAGTGCAATAAATCCAGAACCTGAGGCTCCCATGGAAACTTCATTAACCATCATCTGCTTTCGGGTCTGCATATCTTTAACTACAGTAGTATTCCCATAGATATTAATATCAGGCAAATCTGAGGATCTTGAATTCTTAGATAAATTCATAAACGGTCCTGGTATAATTCCATGTACAGAATCTGGACCAGATAATGAGACTAGGGTTTTGGCTAGCTCACCCATTAGGCCTAACGTGCCTCCGCCATAAATCAAATCTATTTTATGAATGTGAAGTGTATGGGCTAACGATCGAGCGGCTTCCTATTTAAAGTCAACGGATGGCATATACATCAAAATGGGCAAACTGACAGTATGAGCAGAGCTATTTCCCGATGACGATCCACAGAACACACATATTACTCTCCTTGGTACTCGGGGCGAGTAGGATGAGGTCAGAAGGCCTTCTTTCTTAGTCGATAGAAGTATATTAGCTGAATTTATTGGATTTACCTTGGAAATGGAGTCTTTAATTTCAAACTCTTTTTTCGTCACGTCGACAGAAGGCATTGTTAAAATGATGTTGAATTGGATGTTTCATTAATTGATTCACGATAGTTTGTATGTGAGTAGTGTTTAAAGAAAAGAATTGATGGCAAATAATTACAATGATATAAATTCCCTTCACGAGCTGAGTAATATCGTACATAATTTGAAATATTCCGGGGCCCGGAGCAGCATTTTCATCCTTGCCATACCTGCAAGTTCCGACAATAGATTTTACTCGCTTGAGCCACCCACCATGCTAATTAGGATCCATTAGCTTAGAATTGCTACAGGCTTGCGTCGTTGCGTCTCACGTACATGGATTTACTCTAGCTGATCTTCACTCACATGTCCACGTAACAAGTAACTCACGATGCCCTCATCAGAAGCTACCCCACCTGATTCATCTCAAAGCGGCGGTGGCATTAGTGTACGACATCCAATCCACAATAAAAAGTAATGCTAATTTGATAAAGCCAGCCATAAAGTCAATAGTTCAAGGACTATTGTTGTTCTTTGGTACACAGTTTGTTATTGGAAAATTCTTTGGACCCAATTCTAGCACACCAGCAACAACTAGTATTCCTACAGACAATGATTATCCAAAAATTTCTACCGAGAATCCATCTTACTTAGCAAAATCATCATCGACGGGTGGTGAGCGAAATAGTCTGGTGCCTCAGAAAATTTCACCCATCTGGCCAGAAACATCATACCTGGACATACTTATTACAGTATCCCCTACCTTCGCTCTCAAACCAATTTCCGAGACTCTCCAAGAAAGAATAGTATTGAATCAAACTGCCTTTCATCTCGGCGACTTCGCCGAAGAAAGAGTTATTGATGGCTCTTTCAAAGTTCCCAGAGAGATACAAGACAATGGCACGCTGTGGGGCCATTTTTACATTGGTCTAAGCGGTGAACAACTTGACCCACTAGCGACGGATTACAAGACAGACCGATCTTACCACTTTACCTGGCCATTGACTCATTATCTTCCTCATAAAAAGGCTAAGAAGACGAAGAATCTCCTTGCCTCTACCAATCATGATGAAGGTAACGAGCATGAAACTTCGCCCCCATCGGACAGACCTATCATAACTTCCCACTACCATCCGAATTTCACAATGTCATTCATACCCGATACGGGAATAGCAAACTTTCCAAGTCTTCACCCAGCCATGAGGCAGTATTTTCATTTGGAGAGAAGCGGTGCTCGAGATGAAACTGGTCAGAATGGGTGGTATTATCCTGTGCTATTTGTTAACACGTTCTGGCAACTAAGGAGCCAGATGATACCTCTAAACTCTACTGTTGACCAGATTCCTATACAGATTAAATTGAATAACATGCAAAACTGGAAGTTTAGTATTATCTCTAGTATTGACGAGGGTGCAAAGCAAACTACAAGAGCAGCTGCTCAAGGTAAATAGACCTCTACTCATTTCAAATTATCAAGCTCATTTACATCAAGGCTCTTCCATGCCTGGAGGCGGGGACGGAAGTGAATTCGAAATGATAAAAGAAGTGATACTACAAACAAATCCTTACCTTCTAGGGACAACTGTCATAGTGAGCATCCTCCATATGATATTTGAAATGCTTGCGTTCAAATCCGACATAAGTCATTACCGGAACAAGAAAAACAACGTCGGAATCTCAGTCCGCTCGATACTTGGAAATGTATTTATGCAGAGTGTAATTTTACTGTATCTTCTAGACAATAACGAAAACACTAGCTGGATGATTCTGTTCTCTCAGGGTATGGGCATTCTACTGGAATTTTGGAAGATAACAACTATCGTCAATATTCGTATCCGACCTTCGAACAACCTTGTGGGTTACGGATTGTCGTTCGAAGATAAGCACACACTATCTGAAACAGAAGAAAAGACCAAAGAATTTGACGCCATTGCATTCAAGTATCTTTACATGATTGCAGTCCCTCTGCTTTTAGCATACGCAGCATATTCTCTTACCTATGAAACCCACAAATCTTGGTATTCATTCACCATTACCACTCTTGTTGGCTCTGTTTATGCCTACGGATTTCTAATGATGGTTCCCTCACTTTATATAAACTATCGACTCAAGTCAGTGGCTCACATGCCCGCAAGAGCGATGACTTATAAATTCTTGAACACATTCATCGATGACTTGTTCGCGTTCACCATCAAAATGCCAACTCTTCATAGGCTTGCTACTCTAAGAGATGACTTGATATTCTTTGTATACTTATATCAAAGTTGGAAATACAGAGTCGATTACATGCGGGTCAACGAGTTTGGACAGGGAGGTGACGAAGATCAAAAGGATTCCGAGCCCAAAACTGATGAGGCATTAAAAGATTCTCCATGTGCCAGTGCAAATACACAAGTTGAAGCTAGTAATTTATCAAACCAAACTGACAGAATAATAGATGATGGGAAGGTAATCACTTCTGGATCTCTAAAGAAGCAAGGAGCTAGGAAACGGACATAGACAGAAGCCATCATTAGATATTTTTCGTTATCTCCTTCTAACTTCAAGCAAGAAAGTGATGCTAATCGACCGTTTAAGATCTAAGCGTGTATTTGGACGTAACACACAACTCGTAAAAGCTCTAATTTGCCCATTACTACTGTAGATCTGATTTCGATCTTGTGGGGCTCAACGAATAAAAGTGAGGCCGAGTTGATGTGCTATTTTTTTATTATGGCGTTGTGAATAGTGGCAGAATGAGGGTATGCCCATCATTTTATGAGAGCGTATAGACATTGGGCAGCCAGACAATAATTCTCAGTTCATAGCCATATCAACGATAGGTGAAGAGACAGATTTGTTAGGTTTCTTCTATCGAAACACGTATATGATTTTGTAGATCCTAATCTATGAAATTAGTTTACAACATAAAGCCGTCTTGGTACCACCCTGGATGATCTCAAACTCAAAGTCGCACAAGATTTAACAGGTATTTTTACCATTTGGTACCCAACTCTACACATGTTGTAACTCAGTCGCGTGAGACAATTTCAGAGTGGGCAAATTTTAGGATCCTTTGTCTATCTACAGCGTGTAGGAAAGTAAGCGCGCGCGGCGCCAAAGATAACCAACGGCAAGATATGATTTACAATAGAGCTTTGGCTAGCTCTTTACTCAAAAGATGTAGATTTTTTTACGAGGTTGTGAAACAAGAATACTGCTTCCAGATCCGTATCAGAATGGCCAAGAAGAAAGAGGCTTACAATATCTATTTGGAAATTGCTCATCTTGGGCACCGAGTTTGTTCCCTGGATTCTTCACTGTACAGAAGATTAACATGTAAAGTAGTTATGGTAAAACATGCTAAATATCACTAGTATCTTTCAAGTAGACTCCTGAAGTCCGCTACAGTCAATCCCAGACAGGGCTATGATATAGATCTAATCTAATATTTTCCGTGGTCAAGACTACAGTGCCTCTAGGTTCCAAAAGGTAATACTTCAAACTGGGTCGTTGAAGGGATTAGTCCTGTAGGCGCAGCTGGGCTAGCTCGTAATAGGTTAGTATGTCTCTCCTTATTACCCCGCTCGCGATGAAGTATGGTCCAATCGTCTTCTTCAAACAATCGCTTAGAAGAACACATTTTCATCGACACCTTTGGCTGCCTCACCTAGACAGTCCTCCGAACTTAACACCACTATCAATTCATCCTCACTTCTACCTAATCTCCCACCCGACTGTCTTTGCGTGTACAGTGATGGCTCTGGGGCGTCCACCGACAAAGTGTCATGGGCCTTTGTGACTTTTATCAGTGGCACAGGCAGGGTAATTGAGCAAAGCGGCTCAGGCAAAATAACCAATGCGGAGGTCTACGACGCGGAGGTTCATGGAGCTCCAGCTGCTCTTGAAGCAATCACTAGCAGGAAGCGAGATCGTGGTCGTAGCGCCATCTATATTCTGCTCGACAATTCTGCGGCTGTCCAGGCCTTACTAACGGGAACAACAAGCTCATCATCCTGGAGGATTCAAAAGTTCTGCAAAATGGTCGCTAGAGCAGCAGCACCTGTTAAAGTAGGATGGATTCCGGGCCACGAAGGGCTGGTAGGAAATGAAATGGCTGATGAGCTCGCTCGAAGAGAGCTTAACTCGTCGGACGATACGAGGACGACACATGGGGTGATGACCCTCGCCTCTTCCGGAAGGAAAGCTCGCGAACTGGCCAGACAGATGGTTACAGACTGGTGGCATTCGAATCGCCCCAGACATTATGCAGACCTCGAACTCGAGATGCGACGCAAGAAACCGCCAGAACTAGCACTACCAAGGGCAGTCTACGCTCGCTTAATAGCCGCTCGAACCGGACATGGAGACTTCGCGGCTTATCATCGCCGCTTCAACCACACTGACGCTACACTTCACTGCGAGTGTGGGAGGGAAAAATCAATTGGTCACCTTGTCCAGTGTCGAAAAGCACTGGCAACATGGCGGCTGAAAAGCGGAAAGCGAAGGGCGCCAGCTATAAAAACAATGCTCGGATCAAGCGGGTGGCAACTGTTTAGGGACTACGTCCAGGAGAGCGGAATATACGCGGAGGCTAGTCGGGGGATGGCAGGGATACCTGTGACTCGGAGGTGATGAACAAAAGCCTAGGTGATCTGGCATGGAAGTAGGGATAGGAATCGAGGCTCGGGCGCGTGGTGGCCGAGGCGGAACGAAGGAAGGGAGATTTTCAAAGTTTTTTCTTTTGTAATGCAGGACTTTGCGTGGAAGTTTTCTTTTGTTTTGTTTTCAACTCTGGGCTGCTGTACTCGTCATGCTTCAACACATAGATGCGTTTCGGCATGGTTCCGGTCATTGAGGTGGGACGAGGCACTTGTACTTTACGGTAGTTAACCTGATCCGGCCCGACCCCACTCGTGCTCAAGCTCCCGTAGGAGTGCGACGGTAGTTACTTCACCTAGCACGTTAATGAACAAACAAACAAACAAACATCCTCACTTCTAGCAAAAATGTCTCTCCAAAAGTCTGCTTCAGAAACTAAAGTTCGCAAGCATCTAACTCGCGATCAATGTATTGAAATAAGAGCATTAAGAAGACTTGGCTTGACATTACAACATATATCCGACAAACTTGGCTTCACAATAAGGCAAGTGCAACATGCGTGTGCTCGAGAGACTAAGAATCCTATATCCCGCAAAGGAAGCTCACCTAAATTAAGAGCGGAACAAGTTGATGAGCTTGAGGCTTTCGTCCGGGAATCTATTGAAAATCCACAGATGTGCTATTTGGAACTAGCAATTGGACCTTTCAGCCACTGGGGATGCAGTGAGGGTTTAATTTCTAATGCACTAAAAAAAATGTTACAGTAGATGCATTGCTCGGAAGAAGCCTCCGTTAAGCGCGGTGAACAAACAGAAAAGATTGGAGTTCGCCCAATTACATGTAGATTGGAGCGATGGGCAATGGAATCGCATATTATGGACTGATGAAACCTGGGTATCGGGTGATTGTCATATTAAACCTCGTGTCACAAGAAAAGTACGTTTAAATTCTATCAAAATCTTCCTTGTACTAGCAGCAGAGTTTAGCCTGATGATGAGTTGAATGAGGCTTGTATTGTGGCTCGCCATGCTCATGGGAACAGCTGGATGTTTTGGGGATCAATTTACGGATCACAAAAAGGCCCATTCCTAGTCTGGGAGAAGGATTTGGGATCAATGAGGTCTTCATCCTTTTGTGAAAGGATTTTGCCACTTTTGAATCAACTCATGGAAAATCCAGGAATTATATACATGCACAACAACGCACCATGTCATAAAGCACACTCAACAACTAAGGCGCTACGTGAGGTTGGAATAACGCCTATGAGATGGCCACTTTAATCTCCGGACCTGAACCCAATTGAGTCACTATGGAACATCTTAAAAAACCACATTCAGGTAAATAGTCCAGAGATAAATGGGGTCAGGCTTGTGCGCTCTACCACGTTGAAAACATTGTTGCAGGCTGCATGGGACTCTATACCTTCAGAGGAGCTATTGTCTCTAGTCGGCAGCATGCACGAAAGATGTGTAGCAGTGATAAAGGCAAATGGAGGGTACACAAAGTATTAGGATGGAGAAGACACACAAAATATTTAGTACGCTTTCATTTTAGTTGCGAGCCATACTGAGGGCTTCGATGTAGACTTGTGTAATACAGAGCAGTTATTTTTGAAATAGATGTGCATTTTTAGAGAATGTCAATTGATTTTTTCAATTTTGAATTTCAACTGAGGACCATTGTACTTTTCCCGTTGAGTTCAAAACCATCCCCATAATTTAGACTTTCACGGAATATCATTGGATAGTTTCTCTTGCTTGCATAACTAGTCAAGTAACTAGATATGGGCCTGCCTGAAGACCATACCAATTAAGGCAATTTGTACAGGGATCTAACCCCAGTCATTTTAAGAATTTTACTTTTGCCACCCATAAGAGACTGTAGTGGGGCTACAGGGATGAGCAAGACCCCATCCGAATGATTGGTACCGCTGAAAGTCAATCTTTTACCCCGAATCATACAAGGTATTTTGATCTATGTGGCCATGACAAATGATTGGTGGATTGCGTACATGCGAAACGGCTCTTTTGAGTTTAGAGATACTCATACTCTGCATTTGATTCCCAAATACCATCATGAGATTGTTCGCTTACGCAAATAGTCGACCCTCCTCCGTAAGTACCCACCAAATGGAAGTTGGACAGCTTTTGGTCATCCAAGCTTACCTTCCTCATCCATGTACACCAGCACCGCGAGAAATGTGGTCCAGTCTTGCTAAATTCGAATCAGTGATTTCCCGCATCATGCGTAAGATGTGCCCCAGATATTCAGTATCTACTTGGCAAAGCACAGTAAAAGGTGCCGCTTGGGTCAAAGAGGAGCCCAAAGCGTTGGAAAGTCATAGACTCAATTAGCACAATATACCCACACACAAGTGTACACATATGGCGACTTTTTCTTCACCCCAAGTCAACCCTCATCCGTGAATGCCCACCCAGGAGAACGTCTCAAAACCCCTGGGTTATCCAGACATGCTTCCATCATCCATTTACTTTTCTCCACGCGAAATGTGATCTGGGATATCTCCTTCCCAAGTGGAGTAGGTGCCCAGGCTACTCAAACTATACCAGAGAACACTACCAGGAGGCGGACCACGGTACTTTCCATCGTTGGCCTGTGTTTATAGTGTCAGCTGCTCGCTCTCAAGCGATTTCTTGGCGCACACAAAGCTCAATTCGTAAAACTCTCTGTCAAGATTCAATATTTCACGCCATTCGTGGTTATATCCATCCTCTACATGATCTTGTGAATCTTTCCTGATCCCTCTCATGTCTATCCCAAAGAACTGTCTCCCAGATTTGTCCGCCACGCTTTGCTTCCTCCGTTGGGTGTAAATATCGGCGTTGGCGTGTATTTAGCTACCAGCTGATGCCAGAGAAAGTCAACAAGAGATGTGGTCATTGGGCTGAGAATTTACT